ACTACGGCTAAGCATATAATCAGCATGGTACTCGTAAATCATCATGGCAAATAAAGTTCTTACCGTCTTGAGTTTATGAGCACCAAAGAATACATGGCTCCAGGACCAATTAAGGAGCAAATGAATGCCGTATATGGCTAAGGGGAGTTTCGCCTGGCCTGAAGGAGCATCCCGCCATACTAGATAAGATGCTGTACCCATGCAACCATATAATAAAGTCCACATTGGACCAAATAACCATTTGGGTGGAGTAAACTTGGGCTTTTTAAGCGAGTCGTACCATTTCATTTGGGATTTAGTCACTAAACTACCCCATACTCCACCAATATAGGGAGTCGATACAAAGAGGATAGGGGCAAGATAGTTGGTCATAAGCACAAAGCATGCAGCCTGTTGGTAATGTGCGGAGTAATCAAATATTGACTTGAATAAAAATTATATTCACGATATTCTTTCAAGCATACGCATATTTCTACCATGCATAAAGCACCAAAAATAAAAATATATAATTTAAATTAAAATATTTTATTTTGCTTTAAAAAACAGGCATTATTCTTTATTATAAAACCGTCGTTCCATCAATATTCGCTCTAAATTAGCCGGGTTATTATTATTATACTTCTTCATGTTATTTAAGAAGCAATTAAATGTGATTTTTTGTCATCCCTCCTTAGAACTCATAATTATTAGGATTCTTTTGACCTGTTCTTTGAAATTTTTTGATCGCTATAAAAAGCATCTATTCCTTGCTAGTACTAGGCTAGGAAGTTTGTCAAAGCTAGCTTCGAAGTAGTAACCAATTCGTCTATAATGAATAACAAATTTTTAAACAAATTTTCAAAGCGTCAGAGACTTTTCATGCCTTAGTCTCTTGTGTGCCAACCGAGAAATGTTGGGGGTACTGCTTGCTTTGATTAGGTTCAATGTTGAACCACAAAATTGGTGGGTTGACACACAAGAGACTATGGCATAGGAAGTCATATACTTGATATTACGAATAGAAACAGGATACATGCGGCTGAGACTATAGCTACTTGGCTGACAATAGACATGTTTTACTATTGACGGCGTCAATGGGGCAAAGGCTTGACGATGAGAATCGCTCAGGGGCTTTAGACTCTGGGTACTCTCTCAGAGATAGGGTGTGGGAAATAACGCTTCGAGTAGCACAGATGGGGTGGCAAGGGTCGAGTAAAATTCTTGAACAAAGTAGATAGCAGACGGATACTACCGGGCAAGAGGGAAACTCTGATAAGGCCCAGGGTAGGAGGACTTGTAATAATATTGCAGACTCTGATCAACATTCCCGGAAAAGGTGAGTTCCTGTAAGTCTTCATACAAATATGGCTATGTTGAAAAAATGAAGTCAAAAGGGCAGTAAGTGTAAAAAGTGATAAGATACTTCACACTATATATTAATAATAGGTTCAATGAAAATAATTAGTTAATGAACATTAGATGACTTTAATGCATTTTTATACAGAACGTCTATTCATTTCTTTAATTCTACAATATATATATTTTCTAAATCTTAATTTTCCCTCCTTAGCTTTCTTCTTGCATTATGCAGGCTCCATTGTCAAGTGAATATGTATACCAAGATGGATGGTCTTTGATTTGATCAAGGTTTACTATAGCTATTAGTTTGCATTTTTTTTCCGCAACCTGATCTAGGCAACAGAAAGACCATGTAGAACATACCTAGTCCTGTATCTTCCGTCAGCAGTATCCAAGATCTGACGTATGACTTAATACATTCTCTGTAATTTCGCTGGAGTCATAGTTGGCATCGCTGTCAGTGTCCCACAGGGTTAAAATTCATCAAAATGACAAATGCAGGCAGTCTCATTGACAAATTTACTGTTTAAACATTCGAATATCACTAGTTCCTCTCTCTTCGAATGCAAAGCTAGGTATATGGGTAAATTCACCATGTAAAGCAGGGTTCAGAGGCAAGGATTCAGCATTGTAGGCTAGGGCTGGTGGATTGGATCAGAAATTGCTTAGG